TTCCGAGCCTGCAGAGCAGTTCCCTTTTCTATTTTGGTGGCCCTTACCTCGGGCAAGGAGCACTTCCTTCTGCTCGGCACGCTCACGGAGTAATGATAAAGATGAGATGTTTGCGGTGCAAACAATATACTGTTGTGCAAACTTTGCAAAATAGTTTTATCCTTATCACTTACAGAAATAATCTTAACAGTATCATGGAAATCAGGTTTTATGCATGCAAACACCCGGAAAGATCCTTATTCTATTGTTTCAAGTTTAGATTTGGAGCTTGACCTCACGTGAGAGAGATAGAGACAACCGGCTTGACAAAGCTTTTGTTCATTTTTTTCTAAGATGACTCATTAAACGTTTCTGGGCCTGAAGTAGTTTGAGCTGGATGAATTAAACCATTGTGTGGAAAACACACAAGCACAACATTATCTACCTCGCCTCAAAACAACCACATTTTGTCCAAATAGAAAAAGATGCTGAGAGATTTGGAGAAGGGGTCTACCCGGCTACTCGTGACACTTACGGCTAAAAGGGGATTATGAATAGTTAAGCAGGGCACTGGGCCACGGGCATTATCGTAAGTGCGTGAAGTGGCTTGCCTCATTAAAACCCAGACTGATTCATCACACTGCTCCCGACGCTAGCAGTTATCTTTCTTAGCACTGCTCTAGTTGAAGTCGAGGCCCATCTCTGGGTGTCTCTGCCTCTGTGCTGTGGTTCTGCTCTGACCGATAGTTAACTCTGAGGGAATGCGAGAACTTCCTGTCGACTGCAAACACTCTCTTCAACAGATGGTTTCAGAAAGAGGAAATGTGGTCTCCTCACACTGCTGTGCTGCAGCATTGATTGGTTTACATCTGACAGAAACAGATTTGTAACTTGTTCTATGGCTTAGTTGAATGTTAACTGATTCCAAATTGAGTTTAGAGAAAACACTGAAAAGCAGCGACGTCACGTCAGGATTACTCTGGTGTTGTGTAGCTGCTGCAGTAATTGGATTTGAACCAGTAGCCTACAGCTGTCTAGTAAAGCTGCGCTGCTGGCACTGGTGGGCCAGTAATGGACACACTGGTGGGCCAGTAATGGCCACACTGGTTGCCCCGCCCCAAACACACACATACCCTGTGACTTCATCATCATCACGCTGGACACATTCACCTCCCCCCTCCCACTTGTGGGTTTTACAACAGCCTCTGTTGGAGCTTTAAAATGGCTTTTGTTTGTGTGTTCATATTCTTTAAGTGCATGTGCTCTAAAGGCTGTGCATTCAGGAAACCCCACATAGATGTGTGTGTGAGACCAATAGCATGCTGATGACATCATTGGAGAGACACAGCTTTTGTATGAGTTGTGTATATATATCGTATGACCCTGGCTGGGATCCGAACAGCAGGTATTCACCCATGCTGCTTGAAGGGGGAAAAATAATTTGTAGGAAGTAAATGTAAACTGTGAAAAACAATACCTCTTATGAGAGCTTGTCAAAACACATTCACTACAATAAAGCATTCTTGTGAGCTGTGCTCCTATAACTGATCTTGAATTGCATTTAATTGCAACTCGAGGGCAGTAGATCAAGCTGTTAACACAACATTGACATTATCATCCTATAAAGTTGTTATGGCAAACTTGTTCCAAACAGTCGCCTACTTACATGTTCCACATACAAGACATTTATTGGGAGTCATGTTTCTGGCCTGCGTATGTTCTGCACGTGCCCCTAACCCTCCTATACTGAGGACATTTTCCCACCAGGTCATTAACTCGTGGCAGCAACGGTGTTATCAATTACACCGGAAGAGAAGACATTTGTCAATGACAATCAATAGGATATAAAGATGTTGAAGTGCAGTTTTGAAACCTGAGTCATATATTGCCCTCATTTGTGATGTGTTTATTGCACAGGTTTACACATTGACAATTAAAAAAACGTTATATTGTGCCGTCCTTGATAATATTCTAAAGAATTGAGCACTGTCCAGAACAAAAAGTGTTGAAATTGAATTTCACTTGTGATTGGTAATCGTGCATAACGTGGTGCAACTTTACCCATCAATTTAAGATACCTTGGTGCATACTCTTATCATTATAATTCTCTGGGGATATCAACAAAACCTTTGTATTGCTGTAATATTGATATATGATGAGGCAACAAAAAAATAGTAGGTTAATCTTTAATGTATTGGATTGGGATATGTGATTGTTAATCTTATGTTCCCTAGTTCCACTTTTGCGAATGAATGATTAATGTGGCTTCTGTCTATAATCGAGTAGGTTGGGCCATTGTTTCTTCTAGTGAGAATGATTAATCCCATTTCCAAGTCTTAAAAACAGTTCTGTGATCATCATTGTAGCTAGCTATAAATATGTATAATGTTCCTTCACCTCAGGTTGTCCAATTCAAACAAGGATAAATTGAGCAAACACCATGCATTGTTCAGTGCTTCTGTGGGATACATCTTGGCTCATATTAAATCTTCTTCAAAACATTTGGTTAGGTCTTTGCATAACGTGATATAAATACAAATAATAGATCAGTCAATCAAATGTATTCTTATTATTTATAAAGCTCAATATCATGAGGTACACATTTGTCAGGGGGCTTTACAGTGTGGACTAGGGCTGTGCGATTATGGCAAAAATCATAATCACGATTATTTTGGTCAATAATTGATATCACGATTATTAAATACGATTATTCATTGACTTTGAAAACATCCATTTATTGAACTTTTAAACAAATACAAATAATAATTTGAACAGTATCTTTTTAACTGTTGATTTCCCTGAGCGTATAATTCAACTGAAAAACCAATACAAAAATAATTAAATAAATTATACATTTACATTTTTTAAATAAATAATATCAAATAATAATAAATACCAATAAACAAGATCAACAAATATTTTGGAGCGCACTTCAACAAGCTACTAAACATATATAAATATGATTAATACAAATAAATTAGATCAAATATGTTGCAGTGCACTGTCACAACCTAGCAAAGTAAAATAATCGTTTTTTCCGATTATGTTGTTTTCGTAATTGTGGCAGGCCAAAATCGTAATTGCGATTAAAATACGATTAATTGCACAGCCCTAGTGTGGACTGCAAACGACACCCGCTGTCCTCAGACCCTCGCAGTGGACAAGGACGACTCCCAAAGAAACCCCACAGTTAATGGGGAATAAGTGGAAGAAACCTCCGGGGAGCAACAGAGGAGGGATCCATCTCCCAGGACAGACAGATGTGCAATACATGTTGGGACAAAAAGAAAAAACAGAGATAATCCTAACCACAAAAATGATAATGTGACTGACCGTAAATATGAATGAAAGATCCAGGACAATGACAAAATAAAATAATAATAACGTGGGCGCCAGGCAGGGGCATTGATTTAAAAAGCAGGCAGTCGGACGTATTTAAAATGCTGGCTTGGTGGATTTGTATGGATTAGCAGCTGTGTGTTCTCAATTAAATCTGCCCCCTGTTTCACCTCTCACAGCTGGAGCAGAGTGGAGCTGTTCGGTGAGCCCCCCACCTACTAGTGTTACCCCCCCCTCCTTCACAAATACAGCGAAACTACAGGGATTTGGAGTTTTACATTTCCGGATGAAACAATGCAGAGTGCAATACACTATAAAGGCTCAGTAGTCAGCACACTATTGAATCCAAGTGATAATGGACAGACTTATTGACCATAGTGTGTTTCCAGGAGTGCTCAGAAAGCTCTCAGCCCTCTCGTGGTTAGACAGCCTCCTCTGTGGTCTCACTGATAGTTTTTTAAAATCTGGCTGCTTAATACTTCAGCACTTGATGCCTTGACTTGAAAGCTTACTTGGGTTGTCCCATCCTGCTTCACCCACTGACTGCTGGGGCCTGGCCTGCTTTCATGCCAACACCCGCATGTTGTATAACTCAGAGTGAACTTCTGCATGTGTAAGTGTGTTAGAGTACAGAGAGCAGCCCTTACAGAACCAGACAATACGTTTGTTGTCTTTGCACTCAGCCTTTTGGACACATGGACAGACAGACACAGTAGTTGCAAGACTCAATACCCTCTCAGTGTGGACATTGTTGTTGTTGCTTTGACCACTGAGTTAGAAAGGGGGTGTGGACCTCTGGCATGGATGCTGCAAATCCTGACGTCCTCTAGTGGTGGTTTGGGGAAAGTGCATCTAACCACTGTTGACTGGGCCTGGAAACGTTTGTGGTTCAGTCAAAGGAAGAAGGGCTATTTCATGACAACCGCTGAATTTAGGATGTGACCACACAGTCTGATAATTTAAGCTTCAGGCCCAAACGGGCACAATGGGACTAAATGTTTTTCTTCACTCCATGTTGGGAAGGAAGGCAGAGTTGAGGAAAAACAGGCACAAGGAACACATTGAGTGTGATGGGAGTGTATAGTGTTAGCGTATATTTTATTTATTCAACTTTAAACTACAGCCAAACCCTCCAAGCTGAGAGCAATACATCAGGAGTAGGTATAGGCTCTCTGTGCAGCTATTTTGTGATACTTAAGATCATTTAAACAACTTTTAGCAACACTTTTTCAAAGACAGTAAAAGTCATTGTTTTGTTTTCCTAGTAAAACCTTTTCTGAGTAAAATGTACTAATTAAAAACAGTTTTTGTGGAGCAATCCTTCACATTCTTTTAACATTTTCTCCTCATAAAACCTTTCCTTAAAGTTTAAACGTTTCATTATTAACCTCCATGTTTACTAGCGAGCAGTTTCATTCTGTCTTGTGTTTGCCAGAGCATTGCTGCATGTCTTGCCATGACCACCACCTGCAGATCAGTATAATAGTGTGAAACTGTTGGCAGGAAGCACCTACACGTGAGAGCGAATGAGAACATGAGCACAAGACAAACAAGATAGGGACCCACTCAATAAGAAAACAACTCCGTAGTACTTCTAGAGGCCAAAAGCTCCTAGGGGAACCTTTGAGAGAGAATGAATATCCCTTACATGTGTCTGCTCTGTCTCCTCCCTCTTTCTCCAGTTCTACCTCCAGACAGGACATTGTCCCTGCACAGTCCTCGACAAAAAGTGGGACTCATAAGATCTGCCTGGTGTGCTCTGACGAGGCCTCAGGCTGCCACTACGGTGTCCTCACCTGTGGCAGCTGCAAGGTGTTCTTCAAGAGAGCAGTGGAAGGTAAAGGTGAATTTTCCTAAATTTCCCCTCTTTGGGCCTAATAAAGGTATTGTGATTCTGACAAACACATCATCATATCCTCACTGATTTATTCATCGCCGCTGATAAACGCATTCATCACTTACCTGTTTCACATAAGCTTGTTCAAATGCTGGGAGTCATTATGATCATTACAAAGTGAAGCACTGTGATAAAGCTAATTAGTTTCCCCCCCCTGGAGTGTTTGCCACAGCAGTGAAGGTAAATAACAGATGAATCTTTCCTCCCCCGCGCTCCTCAGGGCAGCATAATTACCTGTGTGCTGGGAGGAACGACTGCATCATCGACAAGATCAGGAGGAAGAACTGCCCCGCCTGCCGCTTCCGCAAGTGTCTGATGGCTGGCATGAACCTGGAAGGTACACACGATAAACATTCCTGTTGTCCTCTTGCAATATACTCATTTATATAAATGGTTATCAGGCAATAAACCGTATTGAATTTTGTCTTAATTTACATTATTTAATGTCATATTCTGTTCTTGTACATATCCCATATTCTATTGACATGTATATAGACTTTTTGCACTACTTTTTTATTTTATTATATATTGTTGGAGGAGCTCGGCTCAGAAGAACTTCATTGCCATTTCTCCACTGTAGCTTTGTGCATATGACAATACAACTTTTGAATTTGAGCCACACAGATACCGCCACACTGTGTACCGCCTGTCTTCACCTTTTTTCTTTATTCAACTTATCTCTTCATTGCATATTCGTCTCCGTTTCTCCCCTGCAGCGCGAAAAACCAAGAAGCTAAACCGCTTAAAGGGCGCCCAGCCGAGCAACCCTCCCGAGCTCAATACCTCTCCTCCAATCGAGACTCGTTCCCTCTTACCCGTGAAGTCCATGCCTCAACTTGTCCCCACCATGCTGTCCCTGCTGAAGGCCATCGAGCCGGACACCATCTTCGCCGGCTACGACAGCACCCTGCCCGACACCTCCACCCGCCTCATGACCACCCTCAACAGGCTGGGGGGCCGGCAGGTCATCTCTGCCGTCAAGTGGGCCAAGGCTCTGCCAGGTGAGTGGTGCCAGTACGAGTGTAGACTAGACTGTAGAGATGTACAGTATATTTAGATTAAATCATTCATATTGATGATTTGCAAAGGCTGTGACACGTTGAAGTTAATCTACAGTTGCAATAAGTTTCAAAAGAAAACAGATTTGCCTCGTTGCACTTAGTCCTCTCTCCCTGTAATGGCATACACATGTAAACTCTTGTCTTTAAGTTTTGCACTTGATATCTCAAACATTGATAAAAAGTCAAGACTGCACAGAGACAAGTTTATGGTGTGTGCTGCTGTCCCCATTCTTTGCTATATCAGGCCCATCATTTCTTTACGTTGCACGTTGGAAGCATGTTGGCTTAAAACTAGAGATGTTGAAATGTATGGGTGGAGTTCAAAACAGGTGTCATCTCATCTGCCTCGATTTTGTAAACAAACACTTGCTCTACATCTGGATCTGCTTCATCTGGAACTAATTTGACACGTAGGCACATTTGGTAAACAGATTGGAGTCAGATTAAGGCTCTAATACATCATTTGTTGTTTAAATGGGTTAATTGTATTCTAGATCTTGCTTTTGCACAAGATATGTGATCATTTGTACAAAGTATCACCTGCTAAAAGATGGCATTTGGAGATCACATCCAAATCTTTTACTCTGCCACTTTCACCACCACACCCTCTCAGACAATAAGACTGTGTTTTCATGATGGTTTTCATGTCCCTTCAGGCTTCAGGAACCTGCACCTGGACGACCAGATGACTCTTCTTCAGTGCTCCTGGCTCTTCCTCATGTCCTTCGGCCTGGGCTGGAGATCCTACCAGCAATGCAACGGCAACATGCTGTGCTTCGCCCCAGACCTCGTCATCAACGAGTACGTATCAATAAACCTTATTTTGATGCAAAAATAGTACCACAGTAATACCTTTTTTAAATCCTCCAGATCAAATATGGCAGTATTTTGTATTTTACGATTATTAAGAGTATCATTTAGGAAATGCATATCCCTGGCCCGGTGAATGGGTTTTTTCTTTTTGCCCCTCATTTAAATCTCACTGATATTTTCCAGGCTAGAATTGTTATTTTTCCCTCATTCAGCAAACGCATACATGTGTTTGCTGATGTATATCAGTGCAGCTCTCTGCTCTGTGTCGTCCCTCCTCAGAATCAAAGCGTGCCTGTCAGCTGTCGTCAGTAATCAGTGTTTCATCCCTCTTATAGAGCTGATGACTCGTCTGTAAACAGCGCTCTGAGTGCAGTGAGCAGCCGGCCTAGCCACCACGCTCAGGGCTGTAATAGGCCTTTTGATTTGTTCCCTTTTTTTTTTTTTACAAAATCACAAGCAGAAAGATAATACGAACATAATTAATATCTGAACATGAAGTGTTTTCTATTCGTCCGCCAGCCCTAAACTAAATTCATCCTGTTTTGATTGTTTTTTTTGCATTTCATTATGGCAGCCTATGAAACAATCTCTCTCACATCGGTGAAAGTCTTTTGCAAATTTCATTTCCAAGTGGTTGGATGAATAATCTGCGATGAATGAATCTGCCCCCTGTGTTTTGTCATGAATCGAATGAACTCTCTGTTCACTTCAACAAAGGACCGAAACCCCTAAGCATACATCTCAAGAATTGTTTTTTCCGTTTGTCCCCACTTTCACCCACAACATTACTTCATCACTGAGAAGACGCTTGCTCATCTGAAATGTGCATTCTCAACCTTCTGGAAGAATTATTTCAAATAGGATGCACAAATTGTTTGGAGGCAGACCTTGAACGTTTAATCTACAAAGAGCTGCTTCATCTCCCAGATTGAGACCGCACAGCCGTTATACATCAACTGTGACTCGAGGAGCTGCTTAACCGTTTCTCTCTGAATTCCACCAGGGACCGGATGAAGCTGCCTTACATGGCCGACCAGTGCGAGCAGATGCTGAAGATCTCCAGCGAGTTTGTCCGGCTGCAGGTTTCCCACGACGAGTATTTGTGCATGAAGGTGCTGCTGCTGCTCAGCACAGGTACGACTTTTCAACACAATAAAATAGATAAAATAGTGCAAGTAAATACAAATAAAATAGAATATAAATAGTACAGAATGAACTGTGTTAATTCAATCATTATAAAACGTATTACTCCAATCTAATACTGTCTCCATAGCTGGAAGACGTTGATGTATGCACAGGACAAACATTAGTCTTTTACAACTCACTGACTGACGTGCAGTTATCGTAAAGAAGAATCTTCTCAGGGCTCGCTCTGATATACCAAAACACACACCTAATTTCACCACGAATACACAACTGCTCCTCGTGTTATCTCTAAGGTAATCTAGAGCAGGGAAATTAAAGATGTAAACAAAAACTCAATAATTAAAGAGATTAAAAACCAATTTAACGATAATTAGCCCCGCTGAAAGTGAACACAGCCGTCCTGAGGGTGCTTTTGTTCTGGCAGCTGTAAGCGCTCTGTGCTGCTGCTGAATATCACTGGGAGTGCAGCGTGAAAATGACCCGATGTATTTTAATCAGCTGCCCTTTGCCGCCCTTCACTGCTCCGACGTGATCACTTAAAGTTTGAAGAATGTCCCTCCTCCTCTGCAATTTACTGAACATTATCCTTATCTGTGTCCCAGATGTTGACCTTTTAGTTTCCCCCTCTCTCTGCCGCAGTGCCAAAGGACGGCTTGAAGAGCCAGGCGGTGTTCGACGATATTCGGATGTCGTACATTAAGGAGCTGGGGAAAGCCATCGTGAAGCGCGAGGAGAACTCCAGCCAGAACTGGCAGCGGTTCTACCAGCTCACCAAGCTGCTCGACTCCATGCACGAGGTACAGGGGGCAAAAGCACATCCTTTGACATCAGGAAGCCATGTTATCATGTTTTTAATCATTGAACAGTGATTCACCGTCTGTGATCGATTCGTTTCTGTTAGTTTGAATCATTTACATGGTTCGAAGTTACCTTGACTTGCAGTATCTGTAAGTCAAGGATCTCTGTCCTTTATTTATACACAAAGTTTGAATGTTACTCTGATTTATAAAAGGCTTTAGATCAGTGGTTCCCAACCGGGGGTACGTAGAAAGATTAGGGATTGCAATATATTTCCACACTTAAAAACATTTTAAAATAAATGTTCATAAGCCTGCTGTCCTGCCCCCAGAACTATCAAAGCTTATGAAAGACAAGCTCAAGTGTCTCATTACAAGCTCTAGTCTTAATAAAAGATGTTGAGCTGCTAGAAGTCTTAATATTATTATTCTTCACTGACAATATTAGTGTAAATGTAGAGGTTGAAATGCATTTGTATTAAGGGTGATTTATACCACTGCTCTAGATCAGGGGTTCCCAAAGTGAACCCCTGATTATTTTCCAGTGTTTCCCACATAATTTCATTGTATTTGTAGGGGCACCTCACCCCCCCCCATGCAAATGAGTCATAGTCTCATTAAATATGCGCATATTTTAATACTTTCAGGAACACAATTCTGAACATTGGATAAAGTCAGGTTCGAAATTCTTGTTTCATTTTGTAGTCATATTAGAATCTAAAGTTTTTACAGAAGGGATTTTGGATATCTCTTTTTATCACTCCATAAGTCAGAAAATACTGAAAAAAAGCTGAAAACAGCTCTGACATTTCTCACGAAAACGACCTTTAAAGATTGCTGTGAGGCGCTACCTAAACCCTTTGGATGACAGCTTGCGCCTCGACGCACTCCATGAAGGTATTTCGAGTTCGGGATCATTTGTTTTTTGTCTAACATTGCTTCGTGCAAGTGACAATTGTTGTCGTCTTCACTGTGAACGTTTTTTTCGCTGTTCTTTTGCCATTTTGAGATTAAAATTTCTAGCTAAAAGCTAAACCAGGAAGTTTTTTAGCACACCACGTGACGCATCTGAACGAATCACATTGTCAGAAATTGACACCAGCCAATGAGATTTCGTTTTTTGGTTTAAGACCCCTTTGTACTTTCACGATTGGTTGCTGATACAAAGGAAATGACCATATTTGGATCCGATGAGATTGTGCAGGAGAGACGGAGCTTTCGAACGATACCTCTGATTACATGGTGCAAACAGCGGTCGCGGTACTTGGAATGTTACGTTGGAATGCTATTTTTTGGTGAATTTAGGATAAATCTACAGACGCAAATAGACAAACTATAGTAAAATAAACACCTAAATGTGTATTTTGTACATTTTCCTTCCAAAAGCCTGAAAGAAAATATGTTATGGAATCAAAATAGCACAACATATCAAAATTGACCAGTGTCTCGCCTTAATGAGTGAGACACACCGGAGCTGAGGATCTGTGGGGTTTGTATGTCGATGTGTGGGAAACACTGTTATTTGTATTACTATTATTAATAATAACGTGTGCATAGACATTTTTCAGGGGCGGACTGGCCATCTGTAGAATGTCTCCTCCCCCCCCCCCCCCCCCCATTGACAATTCACGTGGCGGGGGGTCGCCAGTCTCTGGCACAGTTATTTTGGGGGTCGCGGGCTGAAAAGTTTGGGAACCCCTGCTCTAGATGATGGTTGTATTTAGTATGCACCATCTATCGAGGAAGAGATCAGATCTATTGAATGCCAATATCAAAATCCCTTTTTTTCTCAATGCCAAACGCTGAATGTGTCTTTGTGTGAATCCTCCAACCCCTTCCCCTCCTCTGTGTGTGTGTCTGCAGATGGTGGGTGGGCTGCTGAGCTTCTGCTTCTACACCTTTGTGAATAAATCCCTGAGCGTGGAGTTCCCGGAGATGCTCGCCGAGATCATCAGCAACCAGCTACCAAAATTCAAGGCCGGGAGCGTCAAACCTCTCCTCTTCCATCAAAGATGATTGAAGAGGAGATGCCCCGTGACAGACACAATGCCTTAAACCCCTCCCCCCCCCCCCCCCCCCTTCCACATCACCTCCTCACCGATCCCAACCCCCCAACCCCCCACCCTGAAGAGCGACGATGTACGGACCGAGGATCCAAGGCGAGGAGTGAATGATGTCTGTGGGAGGGAGTATGCAACTTTGTGCAGAGAGAGTAGAAACCAGAGAGGTGTGTTTAGAGAAAGGAATGTGAGGAGATAAGGATACTCACAAAGAGATAAGGGGTTACATCCATGTCGTCTCAGGTTTCATACCGTCAAACAGAACCATAGATCAAATAAATATCTATGTACAGGTTCTGATAGTATTTTCTACATTTTCAAATTGTAACCGTTTATACAATTTTCCAGATCGTTGTTACCTGGAAGGGGCAAAGCTTAATTAATAACATGCTCTTACGTAGGCTTTTAGACTGTGAGCTCCTCTCTTAGTTGTTAGAGGAGTCAGTAACACAATGTTTATCAGTCATGAGGAGAAACTCTGAAAAAGCATTGCTTTTATTGATACCTTGGACATAAGAAACAATCTGTTGGATTGTTGTTAGACGATTCCTCCCACAGGCCCGACCTCCTCCAGGTTTACACACGTCTTTACAAAAGGGAAATAATATGTGCCTTTTTGCTTCATATATCATCCTAGCCATTTCTTCTTCCTGCTCAGCCCACCATGGCATACCTTCATCGTATGCTGATTGTACTTGTTATGTTACATGCGGTTTCCTTTTTTATTAAACGGCTGTGTTTATCTTAAGAAGTGGCTGCTTGGCCCATCCTCCGTGTGTAGAAATGATCCTTATCTTTAAGAAATAATATTCGAAGCCTGCTTCCTTCTGCCGCACACTCAACTCCTTAACTGTGTTTTGAGCACTTTGCACCCAGCTTAAGGCTTTAAAAGACTGTGAAGAAAGACTGTTCTGCTGAATCAGTCTTTACTATATAACTTTAGATGGAAGTTATACAACTTTTTCTATAGGAAATAGCCGGCTTTCATATTTATGTTAGCCCCCCCTCGTGCCCCAGAAGTCTAATTATGGAATGTGTTAGATACTTGCGTGCGTCTATCAATCAGAGAAGAGAGGGCGTGTTTTATTGTGTTTGCAAGATTATGTCATTTTTTATTAATCAGCAAACTAATTTCTGTGGTTCTAATGTTGCTTAAACTGGTTGGGAAATAGCCGTCCTTCATTTTTAAACGTCTTTTTATAGTTTTTTTTAACTGACCAACCTGCAGTCATATTTCTGCCACTGATGATCCTTCTGCGACAGTATATCCACGCTTGCAATGAGCATCTGACTTTGGATATTTAATTATTAAAAGCCTTTGCATTGTTGCTTTGCTATTTTGTGAAAGGAATAGTTTGACATTAGTTGAAAAGCATTAATTTGATTTATTGTAGAGGAGATTAATGTTGTAAATATGTTGCTGGAGTCAGACGCCAGTTAGCTTAGCTTAGCATAAAGACTGGAAGTGAATAAACCACTGGCCTTGCTCGGTCTAAAGAAGATGGTCGGACACTTAACCGCCATCAAAAACATAAAAATATTTTAGTTTTTGTATTGATTTACCAAACAATATAATATGTGTATACATGGTTGCGTATTTTTAGACGAACCCACGCTAGCTGTTTCCAGTTTTTATGCTAAGCTAAATAGCTCCTGGCTGTAACGTCATATTAAACATTGTCAGTCTTACCTGTGATAAAGTGAAAAAGAGCAAATGCTGAACTATTCCTTTAAACGGTCTTGTGTGCCAGGCCGCTTTATGGATCAGGCGGTGGCAGATTCATCACCCTGTGAACCTCCTTGACCTTTGACCCCTCTTGTTTAAGCCTTCTGCTCTTCTAACGCCCTGTAGGCACCTTGTGTTAATGTCTGTGTGTCTCTAGAACATCTACATGTTTACCTGTCTGTCTGTTAGCCAGTGGAGCCCCCATGTTTGAAAGCACTAAGCCTCAGTCACCTCATAGAGTCGTGTCCCAGTGAAAGTGTAGCGTCACTGACCGGGGGGCTGGCAGGATTGATCCTTTTTATTCTCTGGGAACTTTTTCAGTGCCAAACTCCTGTCTTGTCTGTCTTTTAAGTGATGCTGGAAGTTGGTCAGTGTTTGCATCAAAAGCAGGAAGCGAGTCCCAGTATTGAAGCTTATGCTTAAGTTTGAAATGTATGAGCTTCTGTGATTGAGGTCGTCATTAATGAGCGATTACTTTTTGTTTGTAACACAAGGCACTCACAGATGTGTTTTGCCATCACACAGAATACCGTAGGTCTGTCATTATCCCTTTCTTTGTGTGTTGTGTAAGTGAGTGGGAGTTTTAACCCATTTTAATCAGATCAGTTTGTCATGTTATGTGTTTAAAGCACAGAAATAATCCAGGTTTTGACATGAATGTTGACCCTAAAGGGGATTTATTTTAAATATAAACAAAATGCTCTTGACGGATTAAAGATGACGCCCTGTCAGTTTAAAATAATTGGATAAATAGGTCAAGTAAGCGACTACAGAGTGCTCATTTAAGAATGGAAAATGTCAAATAGTTTTTGCTGTTGCTAGATTATCCCAACAACAAACAAGAAAGCAGTCATTATAAATGTTGAACCGCTTCCCATGCTCAGGTTGTTGAAATGATTCACACAGTGCGTGGTTGTCCATGTTTTATGTCCTGACTTTAAGAACCAAAAAGAGTCTGTCTGCATCCCAAAATGTTTCTGCTTCTGTGATTTAGGGTGTGTATTTTTTTTGTCAGGATTACAAACGTTTTAAGAAGGTGCTGCCACCGTCTCTTTCATACTTCGCCTCAGAATAATATACAAGTTGTTCTTTCAGATGTTTATTCAAAACCATGTTCATTAACTGCATAGTGATTACTCATGGGTTACTTTCACATTCAGTGAATCCAAAACTCTGCTGCTGCTCATTTTAACAGGATTATATATACTAATGTATATCGCACACTTGCCTCATAGCTCAAAAATGTATTCTTATTTACTTTTTAGTACATTTCTGAGGAGGACAACTGAATATGCAATAGAAATGACAGCTCATCTGTCATGGTCACATTACAAAAAATATGGTCACTTCCTCTTTTTTTTCCAGTATAAGCTATTTGCATACAGGAGATTCACATTTAACAATATCTCTGCAGGTCAGATTTTCAGGAAATAATACACTTTGTCAATAATAAGTCTACACGGACTGAACACAAAGCCTATTTTTTGTTTGACTACAAGGTGACCAAAGCAAACACAGACAAACTCAACACGTGTCGGTTTAAACTATGTAGCTACTAGAAAACAAATGTACAGTTCGTTGTTTGTTTTTTTTAAACACACATCTTTTTACTCTTACGTGACAGCTTTGGTCAAATTGTGTAATACTGTGAATAGGATAGGATTCAGTCTTTTCACACAAACTGTTTGTGAAAGTAATCAACCAGCGTGAATCTAAAAAAAGAAATTTGCACTACCCAAATATTGTTTGAAAATCTATTTTGTATAAAGCATATGCAGACATTTCTGAAATATCAAGGGCCGATCATGTTTCACTGGTATATGCTTTCTCTAAAAATAAACTTTGTTTTGCTTAAAAATTTGAATATGTACATATAATCCATTGTAAAGAAAACGTGGTGTATTTGTCTCCAAATAATAGTTTTTCTATACCAACCCCTCTGTATTATTTCTCCTGTAGTGTGTCTCCTGTTGATCTTTTCCTCCATTGATTAAAGGTCAAACTGTACGTCTGTGTGTGGTGCTTCTCTATACAAGCCTATACATCCACTGAATCATACTCTGTAACGGTAAGACACTTCTGTTGCTACAGTACGCACTTGTTCATCAAATAAATACACTTTTGACATCTGGTTCATAATCATTTGAATTGGCAAAGCTAAATGTATACTGCCACTGTGTCACACGATATTTAAGCTGTTCAAGATTTCAAATAAACTGCTAATTTTTTCATTTATAAAAATAAAATCCAATAAACCCTTACTTTTCCATTTAGCAATGCTGCATTGCCTTTGAGTCGTTAAGTCACATGATATGTAGGCCAACAGCTGACTTTTAAGAGGTGTTCTACTTGTCCACTGTAGTAATACAATGCTGCATTTGAAGTCACCAGGTCGCACGACGTGGTGAAAACCAAGACTTTGGGACTAATACAAAAGATAATGTAGGTCATTGTTTAAAGTTGGATGCATTTCTATGTAATAATGCTCAGGAAAGATTTCCCTTTGGGACAATAATGTACATGTTATCCAATGAAGTATCTATTAAAGAAAGTAAAATAACTAAACTTTCAGTGTCTGATCACACTAAATCATCACGGTTGTATGGGGACCGGACTCGGGCACGCGCACCCCGCTGCCTCTACGCTCGCTCACGTGAATGTAAACACCTGACCGCTGCAGGGGAGCGAGCCCGCTGATTCTTCTCACAGAAACACAAACTTCTGCAGATCCTTCCTGTCGATTCCTCAGCTGTGTTAGCTATGAGCGGGATGGCGGAGGAGGACATGTTTGTATCGGAGGAGGAGCAGGCGGTGGACTGTAGGCGGCTGACCCGGCTGTACTGCATGAATGGCGGACATCACCTGCAGATCCTCCCCGAGGGGAATGTGCAGGGCCAGAGGGAGGATGGGGACGCGCATAGTAAGACTGCAGCGCACTGTACATGCAGGGCAGGCCTGCACCGTGATGCATGTACTTCCTTTTAAGTGCCTATAATAAAGTCCTTTAAGGAGAAAATGTGAAAGAAATGTCACACTTCAAAGGGCTGCCTTCCGCCCCTTAATGGTTTGAAGAAGGAACATCCCAGTAGCTTGTATGGCAGCCCATTTCCGCCAATGTAATACAAAATAACATGCAAGTCATTATAATGAAAAACCTTCCCACATATGGATGAGGCTTTAGACTTTATTCAGTTTTTGCAACTTGTGCTTTTTTAAGCTTCATTGTTTCTATGTGCCTATATGTGACCTCAAAATCAGTAAAACCGAGCCATTAAAACCTTTTTCTAGCACCAATCCTTCCCCTCCCCTACTCATTATATTTAACTCCTACTTTTTAAACATAATTATATGTATTTTTTACAGTACCATTGTGTGCTATTACATTTCTACCCATCTCTATTATATTTTTGATATACCTTATCGTAAGTGTATTACATTTATGCTCCTTATGGAAATGTTAACATCTTATAGCAATATCTTCTCTATTTTGTATCTCGTGATAATGTATTTGTTTATATTGCAATATGTATCAAAATCTGTGGGCCCATATTTAGTTCTTTATTGTTTTTAAATGTAATTTTGATGAAGTGTCCATGTGTCGTGCCATTTTGTGATCCTTGTTTTTTTAGGCGTGTTCATGGAGTTCAGCTGTTGCCATATTATAGTTTTTTATTTTTACTTGTTCTTCTTTCAGTTGTTTTGAAGCTCAAAGCTGTGGACAGAGGTGTTGTGGTCATCCAAGGAACAGAAGCCGGAAGATATTTGGCCATGAGCGACGAGGGCAGATTGTACAGCTCAGTGAGTATCTGCAATAAACCTGATGAAGTCATGATAACATATTAAAGGTGGGGTAGGTAATTTTGGAGAAACCAGCTCGAGATCGCAAGAATTTGAAAATACACAGCCGGAAAAAATCTGCCACTTCCTTACAGAGCCCCTCCTCCAACACACACACACGCGCACATGACCAATGAGGGCACGAGATAAGTTTGTGCACAGATGGAAGGCTGACAGGCAGGTAGGCCATCCAGTTATTTTAGCCGGGCCGGCTAAAATGATTGGTCGTGCTTTTTACAGTATTACGGCTTCCACAGATGAACATTTTTTTATGAATTTGTTGTCAAAGCACTTAAGATATTCATTGCTATCGGGATGTTAAGAGCATTCCATGGAATATACAGGGTGCGTACGGGTGCTGGAAATCCTTGAAAATGCTTGAAATTGTACGAGGTGTTTTCAAGGTTCGAAAAGTGCTTGAATTTTGGGAATGGTGCTTGAATTTGGGATAAAGTGCTTGAAATTGTAAATGCTTTACTTCGCTTTTTAGATTAAAAGAAAATAAAGAAGTCGGAGCGCGCTTAATTGCTTCGCTTTTACATAAAACGGCTCCGCTCCGACCTTCCCGCGCAATGCGCGTGACCGGCAAGTGTTTTTGTTACGTGTGTGACCTGGGCATTCTGATGAGAGTGATAGATGACAGTATGCCAGGAGGTTGCCGTTTCAACGAGCGTTGGCTAGCAGAAGACAAATACAAGCCATGGCTAAGACGAGGGTCAAGCGAAGCCCAAGAGTAGCCTCCTGCAAAGTGTGCAACAATAACGATGCGAGAGTCTGCGCTGACGAGCCACACACCACACGAAAGGTACGCCATAGTAGAGCATTTTAGATTAGGCTATCGTTGCATGTAAAATACATGACACTTTTCTCTGTGCGCGGAAAAACAAGCTCGCCAAAATGGCTTCACTAGTCTGGCAGTATTTTAAGTGTCCGAAAATGACAATAAAATAGCGGTATGCAACGTGTGTGTGAAGCAGAAATCCTGCAGCTCCACCCGCTGTGACCGACCGGTGAGCGGAGCAGAACACACATTAAGAGTTAGACCTAACACACTTAGCTATTTCATCTACCTCTGGAACAAGCTAAACTAGTTATAAATATATTTATTCTTCACTGTTGGGTCACTGATTACTGGATCAGTGAGCTGCATGAGATACTGACAGGCTGTCAGGAGAGAGGAAAAGAGAGCGCTTCCGCTAATTTCTCCCGTGTTATTATCCAAAGTTTATGTAAACTTGAATAATGTACTTCATTTGAATGTAATAATTATGTTGGTTGGTTGGTTTGTGGAAGCGCCAGTGAATGAGCCCCATTAACTGAATTTTAAACATCACTTTAAATGGAAGATCCCAATAGGCCCCGCCCACTCGATCGGATCGGCGATCGGTATCGGCCGATACTGATTCCGGCGATCGGCCCCAAAATTGGCGATCGGAGCATCCCTAATAATTGTATATGATAGGTTTTATAATGATTGATCATTAAAGTGTTCTCAAAGCTGGTAAAGGTGCAGCTAGTTTGAATGACTTTGTATACTGCAGGGTAGCTTGTGAATTCACTCCAGGTGGAACTAAAGTCTGATTTAACACTTGATTATATTTCACATCATTGATCCACATCTGTGAAGTAACTACAGGTATTAAATACATGTAGTGGAGTAAAAGTACACAATTTACCTCTGACTTATGTTTACTGCCAACCTAAAAGTACCTCAAAAATAGTAATCAATAATGTATTGAAAAGTTATTTGGCTGATTGTTTTATATTGGCTCAGCCAGGTTATATGGGATGCCCAGTCTACGTACAGATGGGTCACTCATTTTGAAATATTAAACGTAGTTTTCTTATCTAAAAATTTAAATGTTTCATCCTCATGTAGAATGCTATTATGAAACACACATTTGGTTGTTTATAGCATAAAGAACATCTGATTTAATGTGAGGTAGGGAAATAATCATTTGAGTATAAGTATGTGTATATAAATATGTAATTTACAACAGCTGTAAGATGCTTGAAAAGCTTGAAAATGCACCTTGAAAATGCTTGAAAAGTGCTTGTATTTGACTTTGGAAAAGGTGTAAGAACCCTGAATATAACAAAAAGTGTATCTCGAGCCGGTTTCTCAAACTTACCTACCCCACCTTTAAGGTAAATTATGCATACTTAGATGTTTCTTCCAAGCTATCTGTTGTAAATTATAAATTAATCCTTGATCTGTCCATTTTTAAACGTTCCATCTCAAGCCCAACTATTTAGATCCCAGTGAGTGCTGTCAGCTGTTTTTGTGTTTATCTCTCAGCCCACAGTGACTGATGAGTGTTATTTCCTGGAGAAGTTGGAGGAGAACCACTACAACACATACATGCCTCAGAAATATCAGGACAGGAAATGGTATGTTGGGCTGAAAAAGAACGGCAAACCTAAACTGGGTTCAAGAACTCACATCGGCCAGAAGGCCATCTTCTTTCTGCCCCGACAGCTGTGTGACTGAGCGAAGACACTCAACACACACTGCAACTCAGCCGCAACTCAGTAATAATCAACCAGTATGAAATCACTGATTAAAGCTGAATGTGTGGTTCTCAAAGTGAGCAGCATTTGAAAATGTTAAATGGGATGGGAAAAACACTAAGCAATAATATTCTATGTATTGTAATACTCGTAAATGATGTCCCGCCACACACTATATTTCATAACATAGTCATATTATATACAATTAATTAAATATATATATCTGTTTTATTATTATAAATGTCACATTTTCTCATTAACTTACTTTAAAAGAAAATTATTGTAACCCATTGATTGGGAATGTTGTTAGATTTTTGGAAGTCATGCTATGAATGTGTTTTTTTTAACTATCTTACTGTCTGGGAACATATTCTCAAGCTCTGCTTCAGATATATATATATATATATATATATATATATATATATATATATATATATATATATATATATCTATGTATCAGTGTCCTATTATGCACATGTACATCATGTCTTGTGATTGAACTGTTTTGTAAATAAACTAACAATGTGCTTTGCTTCCTCACTAATTTACATGTTTCTGCATCAACCCTTTGGGATTAGAAAAGGAAAACTATCAATTGAAAAGGTGTCACAAAGAAATATGAAACACTTATTTTGTATCTCCAGCAGTAACACTTTGCTGCTCCAATGTGTAGATCCCACACTGCACCGTTACAGATGTAAAGCTGTCCTTGTGCCACACATTTTAATTTTCACCAATGACCTGAATAAAAGTAGGTAGCAGTGATTTTATTAATCAAATAAGTATGCAAACATAACCAATAACCTACCATAGCCAATAACAAATACATGTAATGTACTTTATTTTTGTTCATTTATAACTTATTTTACCAGTTAACATTTATTTATCCATATTTTTTAAGGATATTTTTGGTTTAATATCCTATAGTCAGGGATGCAAACTCATCAGGTATGAAAAAGGTGACAAGGATCCGAGCCCCCCGACCCCACGGAATATCGGCTTTAAAATGAGGAATAACAGAGGATATTAGCAGTCAGAACAACTAAAGCAGCAGTTAATAATAACAGAAACGCCAAAGAGTCACATCTAATAGAAATATATTTAAGCATTTATTTTAATTGTGTAGCAGTCAGTTTATAATTTTGGCAGGACTGTTGAGCATTTTGAAAATGTATTTTCATGCCTCTGTGCAAGGCTGTCTTTCTATCTTTATAGCCAGTGGTGTAAAGTAACTAAGTTCATAAACTCAAGTACTATACTTGGGTACAATTTTGAGATACTTGTACTTTATTTAAGTATTTCAATGTTTTGCTACTTTGTTCTTATTCTCCTCTACAGTTCAGAGGTAAATGGTGTACTTTTACTCCACTACATGTATTTAATACCTTTAGTTACTTCACAGATGTGGATGAATGATGTGAAATATAATCAAGTGTTAAATCAGACTTTAGTTCCACCTGGAGTAAATTCACAAGCTACCCTGCAGTATACAAAGGCATTCAAACTAGCTGCACCTTTACCAGCTTTGAGAACACTTTCATGATCAATCATTATAAAACATATCATATATATTATTCTGAAATGGACCAATCTGCACAATGACTACTTTTGCTGTCGCTACTTTAACTATATTTTGATGATAATACTTTTCTACTTTTACTTGAGGAACATTTTGAATGCAGGACTTTTACTGTAACAGAGTATTCCTACACTCTGGTACTTCTACTTTTACTCAAGTACAAGATCTGAGTACTTCTACTTTTACTCAAGAACAATATCTGAGTACTTCTACTTGTACTCAAGTACAAGACCTGAGTGCTTCTACTTTTACTCAAGTACAAGATCTGAATGCATGTATGCTAGTTAGCTAGCTCAACGATTCATTAAATAATATTGGGACAGAAACACTTTTCAGTGCACATCACGCTCTGCCGCTCCGACAGGGAGCTCTGCTCTGAACACCCCGTTCTAACCAGCGGTCCAGTCTGTGCCCGCACAGTTAATATTAACGAACGCACCGTAGGTAATGTAGCTGCTGAAGCTAGACCCTCATCCCGGAGCAGCAGAGCCTTATTATACATCTATGAGCAGAGCTGACAGGCAGGAAGACTTGTGCTCGCACTTCATTATAATATATAAAAAAAGAACACCATGCGTGTCATGATGGCACTTAACAGCTCGCGGCCGCAGATTACTCCGGGTCCCAGACCCCCCCCATACCCCAAAAATATTTTTATTGCAGATCTACATGAATCACACAAACGACCTATTTTGGAATCAAAACGGCGAATTTCGCCGAAAGGTGACAAGTTTGCATCCCTGTATAGTATACATTGGAATGATTTAAAGCCTGTTATTATTTATCCTAATAATTATTAAGGTGTGCCTTGGAAATATTTGTTTACATAAATTGTGATAAAACCGTTTGAGACCCACTGAGATAACTTGGATTAAAGTGAACTATCTAAACACTCAGAGTCCTTTACCTCACTGAGCCTCTCAGGGAAAATGTAACCGGGGTGAAAAGGGTGTTATCTTTACTTAATTATGAATGTTGTTACATCAAGGCCGAAAATTAGTTTGTTTTGTATTATATTTCCATTTAATCTTGTGGACGTGCAGATTCCCTGTCCTCCATCAGGGGGCGCTGCAGCACCCTCAGCACCCCTACTTCCCACGGCCATGGGTAACACAATCCAGACTCAGAAATGACGCATTAAAAGTGACATTTATTCAACACTAAACGAACTTTGTACAGTTTCATAACAACAAAACCCCAAGGTGGTAGCTCTACATCACATAGAAATAAGCTAAATGTGTCTGTGTCAAAGCCATGGCAGAAGTATGAAGATAACTGACTAGGCTAAAATCTATTTAGACTGACAACAATGGTTGGAAAACCTTCTCCTTACTGAATATCAAACAGAAACCACTGCGTCAGTGTTGCGTCAGTCTTGTTTTATATGTCTATGATTTAAAATAATGATGAACACCCTCTGGGTTTTATTAGTTATGTTTCTAAAAGTGCACCTGCATACAACATTCTTTGATATAGTTTGATACCCACAACAAAGCTAACATCTTACACCCTATTAATCATTTTAAAAAAGAATAAGAAATTATGAGAAAAACAGATTTTTCTTCCCCATCTATCAATTCAATCTTAAGGCAAAAGCACCACCTGGAAATGGAATTTGAGTTATTTTTAGAAGATTTTATCCAAGTGGCGAGATCATTATCGGCTGAAACCCAGACAGCACAGACTCTTCTGTGCTTTTCCACCGACATGAACGAGATGCTGACTCACTGACGACTCATGGAAAGGTCAGGCTGTTGCATGAGCTTTTTGAGGACATGGACCATAACATGTGCTCGCACGCCCATACAAATCATCTTTCTCGCTGCCTGTCACTGACCAAGAACTCCGCATCCTTTCAATGTCAACCCGAAACGCTCCAGGGTTTGTTGCTTGGCTTTTCTGGCCGTCTCGTGTCTGGCTTGGTCACGTTTCAAATCTGAAATTTGATCATCTAAAATCAGAATTGCAAATTAAATTCCATTTCCAAGGTGGATGGTTTTGCCTGATTTTTGTCAACATAATAGCAAACAGGCAAGATCCTAACTTGTGATACATGTATGTAATTTTAATGAACTCTACTGAGTGTGTCTTAAATCACAAGCATGTATGATTCGTTATGACGATGCCCTCAATGGAACAGTTCCTAAAAGCAACGGACAACACTGCCTCCTCCTGGCTAAACAAAAGAGCAACACTACTTAAAGCCAACAGGTGAGTGAAATATGTGCTATATCAGCATTTACAGCCTAATGAGGGCTTGCTTTTTAAGTGTATGTGTTATCCCAAGACAGCCTATAATAGTCACGATGAAACCATAATTAGTGCAGATTACAGTGTTGCATGCTGTGGTAAATCTATCCTTGTAATAATTAAAACCTGTTGGCTTCATGTGTCAGCAACATGAGACGCTCCCTATTTATTGACCTTAAGGGCAGATGCATGCTCGTACGCTACTTTCAAAATGATATAAGGCATTACTTATACATTACAGACAGAGATGTAAATAGCACTTAACATTCGCCACTAATGAGTACATCAAGGGACTATCACTGTTCACCATTTTCCATTAATAAAGTTTCAAAACTAAATAAAACAAAGTGATATAATTCCTGAATATTTCATGGAGGGTCGTCTTCATCTATGACTCGTCAGGCTGATTTCTGGCTGAGTGTCTTCACTTCAACTTGTAAACTCTTCTCAGAGTGACTGCTCCTGTTGGTCTCGCCCAGTCCCACTTCCAACATCCTGGATTTAGGATAAGGAAAGATTAACAAATCAAGTCTTACAGTGTTGTTTTAATATTACATACTTTGTGGTTTGTGCCCATTAATAATGCAGACTGACAAGATTTATGCAATACTACTTAAGTTAACATCATGTCATGTGTACACCCAGAAAACATGGAATTTAAAGGGGACCTATCATGCAAAATGCACTTTTGTACGTCTTTTATACATGAATATGTGTCCCCGGTGTTCCAGGGAACTCACCAAGTGTCAGAAAACACAACCCTCTCTATTTTCCTCCATACCCAAATCTCTAAAAAAGGGGCTGCAACGGATCTGATAAAAACTGATCCAGATTTGAACACTTCTATGACGTCACAGAAGTGGCGCTACGGCTATTGGGCCAACTCCACCAATCAGGAGGAGACAGCCACGGCCATTGCCGTTCGAAAGCGCTGGAGACGCTGTAGTACATATGCCAGGCCAGTAGATGGTGCTGTTCTCACAGAATCAGCCCTTGTTAAAAAAAAGTCCAAATTGAGCAAAATGAGGCATGGCTAAAATGCATGATCTGTTTGGTATTTTGAAAAGAAAAAAGTATAAATATGCCTTATATAGGTATGGTCCTACACTATATTATTATAATATAGCATGATAGGTCCACTTTAAATGAATGCTTGGTTAAATTGCATCATGGTCTCCCCAGAGGCTAGGCAATTCCCCGAGGAAATGTTCCTGTCATGAATAATTAAAACCGGCCAGTGTGACGGTCTGGAGGGATCTATTGGCAGAAAGGGAATATAATATCCATAACTATGTTTTAAATAGTGTAGTGTTGTATGTGTTTTTGTTGTCTTTAAAAAGGGCCTTTCCTTATTTTATTCTACATTAAGGCAACAGTAGGTTCTGCAAATCCCTTTTAAGAATAGCAAGATGACACAAATTCTTCACACAGGATCTTTTATCTTATCTTAATGTTTTCTTAAAATAATTATATATGACAGTAAAAAATTAAAAACAGACAAAAAGGTTGCTCAGTTTATCTTTGATTGGATAAAGGATGGACGGAAAAATATCTGAATT